CGGGGAGGGCGGTTTGACGGTGGGAATACGGGCTAGGTCGAAGGCTGGGGCGACGGGCTAGGGTGTACGGGCCGCGCGAGGGCAACGGGCAGGGCGCACGGGCGCCGCGACGGGCTGGGGCAGAGCCTACGGGCGTCGCGACGGGCTGGGGCAGAGCCTACGGGCGTCGCGACGGGCTGGGGCAGAGCCTACGGGCGTCGCGACGGGCTGGGCGCGGAGGGTGGAGTGGCGCGGTTTAGGCGCGGAGGCACAATGGGTGCGGAGGTGCGAGCTAAGCGCGGAGGGCGCGGAGGGCGCGGAGGGCGCGAGCTAGGCGCGGAGGGCGCGGAGGGTGAACACTAGGCTAGGAACGGGCTAGGAACGGTCCTGCTCGTGATACCATCTCAAGAGTGGTTAGCAACGGAATGGTTGGAATAGAAACGAATGGGGTACAAATAAGCAACCCTAGAAACTGTACCCCCTAGAGTGCAACTCACTACAGCCTATCATATCAATGTTCAACATTTGACACTTATGCACTCTATGCCATCAGAGAAGACCCCACAGCCCATTTTGAGCACATTTAGGATAAGACCCCCGGGTCTTCTAGGCGGGAGCTCACGGTATTTTTACAAGTGTAGGCTGAGCCTCAGACTTGTATCGGGGGTACACTCTGCGCGCTTATTGGAGCGAAGTTTCCTGGAAGTTTCCTTCCGATATGCCCACTTCCGAGATGGCAGTGGAGTGGCAGGACGTGAGCAACACTCACTTCAACAGCTGGGACATCCGAATACACTCGTTCGTCGAGAATATCTTCCATTTACGCTGAGGAAATGGTTGCGTGATTACGAGATTTCTAAAGACAAAATCTCGTCACATGTAAGTTATCGCTAATGTATTGTAAGGAATAGGCGACTTTGATGCTGATTCGCTGTAAAAACATCTGCAGCACGCACTGCTGTGAATTGCGAAGCTCCTGATTCGTAGTGAAAGTTTCGTGTGGCACTGCCTGATGCTCACACGCTACGCCAAGCAACAGTTTCTGCCTGCTGCCAGCTCAGCTGCGTGGCACTTGGCCCACCTGATACAGATCGGGTGAACGATCGCATCGCTTGAAACGCAAATCCAAAACTGACAAAATCGGCACACAGGCGAGAAAATGGGCTGGGCACAGAACGGTAATCACACACACGACAAAACGAAATGAGATCAGTAGAAACAACCATGCGCTGCACGCCGGAACGCCGCCGACATGAGCAGAGGCCATGCACGAGCATGTTGCCTGATGCGTTGGTATGGTAGGCTGTAATCAGCTTCAATGCTATTATAACTGCTTTTACGAAAGTTCATGAACATCTTAAAATTTGAAGTAACTCTGACAGTTCAGACAAAAAAAAATGTGCTTGTCTGAATTTTCAGACTAAAATTTTGAGGCACCTCTGACAGACAGAGTTCCAGGAGGGGTGTACTCTGATCGATCAGAGTGCCTCAAAACGAATCTAGGGGCCTGATTGCAGGACATTGAGAAGGAAACTCAGGATAGGGATGGTAAAGCGGTGGTGTTAGTAGAACGTCAGTATTGATAGCAACATTCACAAAAGTCACTGCATGATCCCAAACCAAACTGTCTTCAAGTTACACATTGATGAAACCCCAGACAGTGGAAGACACCCATGCGTGTCACCGGAAAGGCGAAAACATGATGAGCGGGCGAGATCTGTTACACTGTGGATGCTGATGATCCGACGGCTGAGCACAGCTATCTGGGCTGGGGTGGTATGGTGTCGATGGTATGCCAAGTTACCACGAATCATATGTCTGTCTCGAGATCCTATGGATAGGTATGTCATGGCCCAATCACGAGGTGAATGTGAAATGGTGGGTGTCAGACGATGAATTCAAACTGAGTAGCTTGTCGTGATTCAGGCGGGATGGAGCTTTCCATCCGCGTTTTGATTTAAATGTAGAAAAAAAATACGGTACACTAACTTGAGGGTGGCCAGTTTGGGGCCTTTTTTTAAGTATATTATTTGCTTTTAAAATCCATCTGTTCATTGAAGTCCCCAATTACTGGAGGTCTAGTAAAATGTCTATTCACCATGATTCTATTCACCCCATGCACCACCATGTGGTCATCTGTATATAGGTCTGGCAGCACCAATCATACACTCCCCTGCGCTCCCAACGGTGGCTTGTCCAGAACAATACTCTAGCACGTGTATGGTCCAAACCCAACAAAATAAGAAACGTTGCTGGCGTGATGCGTAACCTAGAAGATTCACAGAGGAGATCTAATGTTACACTTCTAAAAGCAAGATGCATTGTGAGGCACACTCATCAGGGCCCAAAATAGGTTTAGGTCCACTCTTGCAAATCAGGGTACCAGGCCCCCCGTACCCTGACCCTTAGGGTAAAAATTTCCGTACCCTGATGCCAACAGCCTAAAACAGCCAAAAAATCCTGTTACACTGATTCTACCAGGGTAGAATTGTTGTTAGGCTGTTTGACAAACAGGAACGCCCTAAACCCGGGTGCGTTGGCGCAAATCTTGCTTAACGGACCAATCGTACGAGCGCGCGTGCAGCCGCACTGCGTCTACGTTGGCGCGCCAGTGGGCATACCGTACAAATGGTCCAGTGGGACCGTGGAGAATTTTGTCTTGGCGCGCACTGTGGCGGAATCCTCGGTTAAAAAAAGATCCGGTAAAAGTGTAGTTGGGCCCGTACCCTGATACAGCCAGTGTAACCAAAATTGTTACCAGTGTAGTTTACAACGAATCCTGATTTCACTAGGGTAAAAAAATTCATAGCCTGATTTCACAAGGGTAACTGCCAAAAAGCGGCCTACCATCAGGGCAAAAAGGGTATTTTACCCTTGAAATTTGGGCCCTGACACTCATTGGGGGAGGCATGCACTAGGGGGGCATGCAAGTAGGGCTCACAGAGAACAGTAGAGACAGTGGGGGCAGGGGATGCACTGTGCCCACGAAAGCGGCATAGCTCGATAGAGTCGCTTTAACGCTTGAACGGCCAGGGTCGAGCGTTGATGTTTCCAAATCTTATGAATTCGTTCACCGGCAGCGTCAAGTCAGACGGGATTGTCAGACGACCAGCAGCGTGAGCCCTTTCTCGCTGCCCTCGCCGTGCAAGCCTCTCTGCTGAGGCGCATCTCTGCTGAGGCGCATCTCTGCTGAGGCGCCTCTCTGCTCAGGCGCCTCTCTGCTCAGGCTCCTGTCTGCGCCCCTTGGAACAGCAAGGCAGCAGAAATGCTATAGGGAGACAGCAGCAAGCAGCAGCATCCCATGCGGCTCGCCTCCATCACCCTCACACCGTCGGTTGGTTGGCTACTACCTTGTGAATACCATCGCATATGGAACGCCGCCGCTCTGGGGGGGTGTGAGGGCGAGGCGCCGCTGCTCTGGGAGGAGGCGCCGCTGCTCTGGGGGGCTGTGAGAAAGAGGCGCCCCTGCTCTGGGGGGCTGTGAGGGAGAGGCGCCCCTGCTCTGGGGGGCAGTGAGGAGGAGGCGCCACAGCTATGGGGGGTTTTGAGGAGGAAGCGCCGCTGCTCTGGGGGGCTGTGAGGAGGAGGCGCCGCTGCTCTGGGGGGTTGTGAGGGCGGGGCGCCGCTGCTCAGGCATCCCTTTGCTCAGGCGCCTATCTGCTCAGGCGCCTCTCTGCTCAGGCGCCTCTCTGCTTAGGTGCCTCTCTGCTCAGGCGCCTCTAAGCGGCGCCCCTCCTAAGAGGCGCCCCTCCTCTAAGAGGCGCCCCTCCTCTAAGAGTGGGTGGATGGTTGAGCGTTGGCGGGTTGGTGGATGGGTGAGTGGGGGCGGGTGGGTGGATGGATGGATGAGTGTGGGCGGGTGGGTGGATGGGTGAGCGTGGGCGGGTGGGGATGGGTGAGCGTGCGGGTAGGTCGACGGGTGAATGTGGGCGGGTGGGTGGATGGGTGAGCGTGGGAGGGTGGGTGGATGGATGAGAGTGGGAGGATGTTGGATGGATGAGCGTGGGAGGGTGGGTGGATGGGTGAGCGTGGGTGGGTGGATGGGTGAGTGGGGGCGGGTGGGTGGATGGATGAGCGTTGGCGGGTGGGTGGATGGGTGGTGTGGGCGGGTGGGTGGATGGATGGATGAGTGTGGGTGGTTGGGTGGATGGGTGAGTGAGTGGGGGTAGGTGGATGGGTGAGTGCGGGCGGGTGGGTGGATGGATGAGTGGGGGCGGGTGGGTGGATGGATGAGTGTGGGCGGGTGGGTGGATGGGTGAGTGTGAACGGGTGGGTGGATGGGTGAGTGTGGGCGGGTGGGTGGATGGGTGAGTGTGGGCGTCTGTGTGTGGGTGTGAGTGCGTGTAAGAACGAGTGTGAGTGAGTGCAATGGAGTGCAACTGGGTGCGAGTGTGTGCAAGTGTGATAAGTGTAAGTGAGTGAGCGATTGCGAATGAGTGTGTGCGACTGTGTGCGAATGTCAATAAGTGTGTGCAAGTGTGTGAATTAGTGCGAATGAAGTAGGTGCATGCGTATGTGTGCCATTGTGTGCAAGTGCGAATGAGGGCGAGTGAGCGCAAGTGTGTGGGAGAGTGCGGGAGTGTGTGCGAGTGTGTGCGAGTGAGTGGGAGTGGGTGGGAGTGCATGCGAAAGGGGAGACGACATGAGGGTGAGGCAGCAAGAGGGTGGCGACAAGGGGAGGACGCAATGTGAACGAGAGGCGGCAAAGAAATCGGCAGAGCGGAAACAGCAACGGGCAAGCAACATGAGCAAGAAGGAGAGTGAAGAAAGGAAAGGAAGACGTGGACTGCAAAGATGAGGGCAGGAGTGAAGAGGAGGTGGGGGGATGAGAGGAGCTAGGCATGAGATGGGTAGGCTCGATCCCACCACTCTCGCCTGCCTCCTCACACGCCCTGCACACAGCTCTGTGTGCAGTGAAGCAAATCCAAGGAAACCAATGTGATTGCAGAGCGAAAGCAACAATAGACCAACATGAGCAAGAATAAGAGTAGGCAAAAGAGAGGAAGGCGTGAAATGCGAAAATGAGAGACTTGCAAGTGCGTGGAGAGGGGCGGAAAGGGCATGGCAGCAGCAGCGCAGAGCAGTGACATCAGTAAAACGAGGCAACGATGCGTGAGCGAGGAAGAGAGGGAGAGAGCTACCCAAGTGACACACGTGGCATGAGCGACGGTGCGCGGCGGAGAGCAGAGAAGCAGCGCAGAGCAGAGGGATGGCCGCAGTGGGGGCGACGGCGGAGGAGACGAGCGCCCAGGACAACCCCACCACTCTCGCCTGCCTCGTCCCAGCCGGGCGCAAGGCATTCACGCTGCTACAGCCGGGCGCAAGGCATTCACGCTACTACAGCCGGGCGCAAGGCATTCACGGTGCTACAGCCGGGTGCAAGGCACTCACTGTGCTGGGCGCCTCTCTGCTCGGGCGCCTCTCTGCTGGGCGCCTCTCTGCTCAGGCGCCTCTCTGCTGGGCGCCTCTCTGCTCAGGCGCCTCTCTGCTGGGCGCCTCTCTGCTGGGCGCCTCTCTGCCGGGCGCCTCTCTGCTGGGCGCCTCTCTGCTCAGGCGCCTCTCTGCTGGGCGCCTCTCTGCTGGGCGCCTCTCTGCTGGGCGCCTCTCTACTCGGGCGCCTCTCTGCTGGGCGCCTCTCTGCTGGGCGCCTCTCTGCTCAGGCGCCTCTCTGCTGGGCGCCTCTCTGCTGGGCGCCTCTCTACTCGGGCGCCTCTCTGCTGGGCGCCTCTCTGCTGGGCGCCTCTCTGCTCAGGCGCCTCTCCGCCTCTCTGCTCAGGCGCCTCTCTGCTCAGGCGCCTCTCTGTTGTGGCGCCGCTCTGCGCAGGCACCACTCTGCTGGGCGCCTCTGCTGGGCGCCTCTCTACTGGGCGCCTCTCTGCTGGGCGCCTCTCTTCTGTGGCGCCACTCTGCTGTGGCGCCTCTCTGCTGTGGCGTCTCTCTGCTCAGGCGCCTCTCTGCTGGGCGCCTCTCTGCTCGGGCGCCTCTCTGCTGGGCGCCTCTCTGCTGTGGCGCCACTCTGCTGTGGCGCCTCTCTGCTGGGCGCCTCTCTGCTCGGGCGCCTCTCTGCTGGGCGCCTCTCTGCTGTGGCGCCACTCTGCTGTGGCGCCTCTCTGCTGTGGCGCCTCTCTGCTCAGGCGCCTCTCTGCTGGGCGCCTCTCTGCTGGGCGCCACTCTGCTGTGGCGCCTCTCTGCTGTGGCGCCTCTCTGCGGTGGCGCCTCTCTGCTGGGCGCCTCTCTGCTGGGCGCCTCTCTGCTCAGGCGCCTCTCTGCTCAGGCGCCACTCTGCTCAGGCGCCTCTCTGCTCAGGCGCCTCTCTGCTGTGGCGCCTCTCTGCTCAGGCGCCTCTCTGCTGGGCGCCTCTCTGCTCAGGCGCCTCTCTGCTGGGCGCCTCTCTGCTCAGGCGCCTCTCTGCTCAAGGCGCCTCTCTGCTAAGGCGCCTCTCTGCTGGGCGCCTCTCTGCTCAGGCGCCTCTCTGCTCAGGCGCCTCTCTGCTAAGCCGCCTCTCTGCTGGGCGCCTCTCTGCTCAGGCGCCTCTCTGCTGGGCGCCTCTCTGCTCGGGCGCCTCTCTGCTGGGCGCCTCTCTGCTCGGCGCCTCTCTGCTGTGGCGCCTCTCTGCTGGGCGCCTCTCTGCTCAGGCGCCTCTCTGCTGTGGCGCCTCTCTGCTGGGCGCCTCTCTGCTCGGGCGCCTCTCTGCTGGGCGCCTCTCTGCTCGGGCGCCTCTCTGCTCAGGCGCCTCTCTGCTGGGCGCCTCTCTGCTCAGGCGCCTCTCTGCTGTGGCGCCTCTCTGCTCAGGCGCCTCTCTGCTGGGCGCCTCTCTGCTGGGCGCCTCTCTGCTGGGTGCCTCTCTGCTGGGCGCCTCTCTGCTCAGGCGCCTCTCTGCTCAGGCGCCTCTTTGCTCAGGCGCCTCTCTGCTGGGCTCCTCTTTGCTAGGCGCCTCTCTGCTGGGCGCCTCTCTGCTGTGGCGCCTCTCTGCTCAGGCGCCTCTCTGCTGGGCGCCTCTCTGCTCAGGCGCCTCTCTGCTGTTTCGCCTCTCTGCTCAGGCGCCTCTCTGCTGTGGCGCCTCTCTGCTCAGGCGCCTCTCTGCTGGGCGCCTCTCTGCTCAGGCGCCTCTCTGCTGTGGCGCCTCTCTGCTCAGGCGCCTCTCTGCTGGGCGCCTCTATGCTCGGGCGCCTCTCTGCTCAGGCGCCTCTCTGCTGGGCGCCTCTCTGCTCAGGCGCCTCTCTGCTGTGGCGCCACTCTGCTCAGGCGCCTCTCTGCTGTGGCGCCTCTCTGCTCAGGCGCCTCTCTGCTGGGCGCCTCTCTACTGTGGCGCCTCTCTGCTCAGGCGCCTCTCTGCTGTGGAGCCACTCTGCTCAGGCGCCTCTCTGCTGTGGCGCCTCTCTGCTCAGGCGCCTCTCTGCTGGGCGCCTCTCTGCTCAGGCGCCTCTCTGCTAAGGCGCCTCTCTGCTGTGGCGCCTCTCTGCTCAGGCTCCTCTCTGCTGGGCGCCTCTCTGCTCAGGCGCCTCTCTGCTCAGGCGCCTCTCTGCTCGGGCGCCTCTCTGCTCGGGCGCCTCTCTGCTCGGGCGCCTCTGCTGGGCGCCTCTATGCGCGGGCGCCTCTCTGCTCGGGCGCCTCTCTGCTCGGGCGCCTCTCTGCTCGGGCGCCTCTCTGCTCAGGCGCCTCTCTGCTCAGGCGCCTCTCTGCTCAGGCGCCTCTCTGCTGTTGCGCCTCTCTGCTGGGCGCCTCTCTGCTGGGCGCCCCTCTAAAAGGCGCCTCTCCTCTAAGAGGCGTCCCTCCTCTAAAAGAGGCGCCCCTCCTCTAAAAGGCGCCCCTCCTCTAAGAGGCGCCCCTCCTCTTTGAGTGGGTGGATTGGTGAGTGGGGGCGGGTGGGTGGATGGGTGAGTGGGGACGGGTGGGTGGATGGGTGAGTGGGGGCGGGTGGGTGGATGGGTGAGCGTGGAGGGTTGGTGGATGGTTGAACGTTGGCGGGTTGGTGGATGGGTGAGTGGGAGCGGGTGGGTGGATGGGTGAGTATGGGTGGTGGATGGATGAGTGGGGCCGGGTGGGTGGATGGGTTAGTGCGGACGGGTGGGTGGATGGGTGATCGTGGGCGGGTGGGGATGGTTGAGCGTGAGCGGGTGGGTCGACGGGTGAGCATGGACGGGTGGGTGGATGGTTGAGCGTTGGCGGGTTGGTGGATGGTTGAGCGTTGGCGGGTTGGTGGATGGGTGAGTAAGGCGGGTGGGTGGATGGGTGAGCGTGGGAGGGTTGGTGGATGGTTGAGCGTTGGCGGATGGGTGGATGGGTGAGCGTGGGAGGGTGGGTGGATGGGTGAGCGTGGGAGGGTGGGTGGATGGGTGAGTGGGGGCGGGTGGGTGGATGGGTGAGTGGGGGCGGGTGGGTGGATGGGTGAGCGTGGGCGGGTGGGTGGATGGGTGGTGTGGGCGGGTGGGTGGATGGGTGAGTGGGGTCGGGTGGGTGGATGGGTGAGTGGAGGCGGGTGGGTGGATGGATGAGCGTGGAAGGTTGGTGGATGGTTGAGCGTTGGCGGGTGGGGTGGATGGGTGAGCGTGGGAGGGTTGGTGGATGGTTGAGCGTTGGCGGATGGGTGGATGGGTGAGCGTGGGCGGGTGGGTGGATGGTTGAGCGATGACGGGTGGTTGGATGGGTGAGCGTGGGAGGGTTGGTGGATGGGTGAGTATGGGCGGGTGGGTGGATGGGTGAGCGTGGGCGGGTGGGTGGATGGGTGGTGTGGGCGGGTGGGTGGATGGGTGAGTGGGGTCGGGTGGGTAGATGGGTGAGTGGAGGCGGGTGGGTGGATCGGTGAGCGTGGGAGGGTTGGTGGATGGTTGAGCGATGGCGGGTGGGTGGATGGGTGAGCGTGGAAGGGTTGGTGGATGGTTGAGCGTTGGCGGGTTGGTGGATGGGTGAGCATGGGTGAGTGGGTGGATGGATGAGTGGGGCCGGGTGGGTGGATGGGTGAGCGTGGGAGGGTTGGTGGATGGTTGAGCGTTGGCGGGTTGGTGGATGGTTTAGCGTTGGCGGGTTGGTGGATGGGTGAGTAAGGCGGGTTGGTGGATGGTTGAGCGTTGGCGGGTTGGTGGATGGGTGAGTGGGGTCGGGTGGGTGGATGGGTGAGCGTGGGAGGGTTGGTGGATGGTTGAGCGTTGGCGGGTTGGTGGATGGGTGAGTAAGGCGGGTGGGTGGATGGGTGAGCGTGGGAGGGTTGGTGGATGGTTGAGCGTTGGCGGGTCGGTGGATGGGTGAGTGGGGTCGGGTGGGTGGATGGGTGAGCGTGGGAGGGTTGGTGGATGGGTGAGCGTGGGAGGGTGGGTGGATGGGTGAGAGGGGGCGGGTGGGTGGATGGGTGAGTGGGGGCGGGTGGGTGGATGGGTGAGCGTGGGCGGGTGGGTGGATGGATGGTGTGGGCGGGTGCGTGGATGGGTGAGTGGGGTCGGGTGGGTGGATGGGTGAGTGGGGTCGGGTGGGTGGATGGGTGAGTGGAGGCGGGTGGGTGGATGGGTGAGCGTGGAAGGGTTGGTGGATGGTTGAGCGTTGGCGGGTGGGGTGGATGGGTGAGCGTGGAAGGGTTGGTGGATGGTTGAGCGTTGGCGGATGGGTGGATGGGTGAGCGTGGGCGGGTGGGTGGATGGTTGAGCGATGGCGGGTGGTTGGATGGGTGAGCGTGGGAGGGTTGGTGGATGGGTGAGTATGGGCGGGTGGGTGGATGGGTGAGCGTGGGCGGGTGGGTGGATGGGTGGTGTGGGCGGGTGGGTGGATGGGTGAGTGGAGGCGGGTGGGTGGAACGGTGAGCGTGGGAGGGTTGGTGGATGGTTGAGCGTTGGCGGGTGGGTGGATGGGTGAGCATGGGTGAGTGGGTGGATGGACGAGTGAGGCCGGGTGGGTGGATGGGTGAGCGTGGGAGGGTTGGTGGATGGTTGAGAGTTGGCAGGTGGGTGGAAGGGGTAAGCGTGGGAGGGTTGGTGGATGGTTGAGCGGTGGCGGGTGGGTGGATGGGTGAGTATGGGCGGGTGGGTGGATGGGTGAGCGTGGGCGGGTGGGTGGATGGGTGGTGTGGGCGGGTGGGTGGATGGTTGAGCGTGGGAGGGTTGGTGGATGGTTGATCGTTGGCGGGTGGGTGGATGGGTGAGTGTGGGCAGGTGTGGATGGGTGAGTGTGGGCGTCTGTGTATGGTTGTGAGTGTGTGTAAGAACGAGTGCGAGAGAGTGCAATGAAGTGCAACTGGGTGCGAGTGTGATTGAGTGTAAGTGGCCGATTGCGAATGAGTGTGTGCGACTGTGTGCGAATGTTAATGAGTGTGTGCAAGTGTGTGAATTAGTGCAAATGAAGTAGGTGCATGCGTATGTGTGCCATTGTGTGCAAGTGCAAATGAGGGAGAGTGAGCGAAAGTGTGTGGGAGTGTGCGGGAGCGTGTGCGAGTGTGTGTGTGAGAGCGTGTGCGAGCGTGTGCGAGTGTGTGCGAGTGTGTGGGAGTGTGTGCGAGTGTGTGGGAGTGGGTGGGAGTGCATGCGAAAGGGGAGACGACATGAGGGTGAGGCAACAAGAGGTTGGTGACAAGGGGAGGACACAATTTGAACGAGAGGCGGCATTGAAAAAAAGACCAACATGAAGGCAGAGCAGAAACAGCAACGGGAAAGCAACATGAGCAAGAAGGAGAGTGGAGAAAGGAAAGGAAGACGTGGACTGCAAAGATGAGGGCAGGAGTGAAGAGGAGGTGGGGGGATGAGAGGAGTTAGGCATGAAATGGGTTGGCGCAGAGGCCGCGTGGAACGCGTGAGATGAGTGGCGATGTGCAACGGTGAGCGGCGCAGCAGCACAGAGCAGATGAGATGAGGGACGCACGCAGTGGGCGGGATGGCGGCGGAGACGAGCGCCCAGGACGACCCCACCACTCTCGCCTGCCTCCTCACACGCCCTGCACACATCTCTGTGTGCAGTGAAGCAAAAGCAAGGAAACCAATATGATTGCATTGCAGAGCGAAATCAACAACCGGCAAGCAACATGAGCAAGAATAAGAGTAGGCGAAAGAAAGGAAGGTGTGAAATGCGAAGATGAGAGACAGGCGAGTGCGTGGGGAGGGGGGGAAGGGCATGGCAGCAGCAGCGCAGAGAAGTGACATCAGTAAAACGAGGCAACGAGGGGTGAGTGAGGAAGAGAGGGAGAGAGCCACCCAAGTGACGCACGTGGCATGGGCGGCGGTGCGCAGTGGAGAGCAGAGAAGCAGCGCAGAGCAGACTAAATGAGGGATGGCCGCAGTGGGGGCGACGGCGGAGGAGACGAGCGCCTAGGACAACCCCACCACTCTCGCCTGCCTCGTCCCTCGCCTTTGCTGCTCGCCTTGCTGCTCTTCACGCACGCCCTGCACACATGCCCTGCACACATGCCCTGCACACATGCCCTGCACACATGCCCTGCACACATGCCTGCGCACATGCCCTGCGCACATACCTTGCACACACTGAAGCATATGGACACGCAGTGAAGCACACAGACATGCAGTGAAGCACACAGACATGCAGTGAAGCACACAGGCAGGTAGTGATTCTCAGATGCAAGCCTGAACGAGTTGAAAAAGGAAAGGGGAAGGAGGGAAGAATATGGAGTGCAGGCAGTGTCGGCCAAAAGCAAGGAATGGGACAAGGGGAGGCGAGGGGAAGGGTGTAGCAAATGGATGGGAGGGGGTGCACGGGATGGTGTGCATGGGAGGGGAAAAAGGGCGCGATGGTCTAGGCAAGGAAGCAACAAGCCAGAGCAAGCGCTAGCTCAGTGTGACCCGCATCCCACATCTCCCCTTCCCCTCCGCCCCCCACTGACTCCAGTCGCCCGATCCCCACCCCCACCCCCCCTCTCATTCCCCCAAAGTCAAAACCCCCCACTTAGCACCCCCAAAGTAAACCCCCCTTTCCCACTCCCCCCTTCATCCACCCCTCCCCCCTTCCTCGCCATTCCGACCTAGTGATGGTGCGGCATGAGGGTGTGGACACACGAGGGAGGTGCGCACCCAGCCACGTGTCAGCGCCTGGTTGGTGGCCTTGAGCACACTCACTCGCGTGCCCGTCTCGCACCACAGTCTCTGCCTCGTGGCCTGCGTTTGCATGCGCGGGGTGGGGGGAGAGCGGAGCAAAAAGAGAGCAAAGATTTGCCGCGACCAGATTCAATTAGGGACTCTGGCAGCAGTGCTACTGTCGAATTGACTACCTAGCTTCAAGTATGTGAAGCCTGCCAATACATCTATGACCCGCAGCGCAGGTCGTACCACCTACCTGCATGTCTTAAAGCGCCTCTAGTGCGCACTCGGCGCTGCTCTCCTGCCACTCTCCCACGCAGGCGTTGAGAAGGAGGATTAGCAGAATGACCAGCGGCTCCACACACGGATGATCCAGCCGTCCTCCTGAACGTGAACACGAGCAATGGCGGAGGCAGGAAAGAACGCAAAGAAAGGAAGCAGGGGGAGATGCAGGACATAAAGAAAGAGAAACGGGATTCCGTAGTAAGGCATTTTTAAGGAAGGGTATGAGATAACAAGACATAATGAATGGAGGCGACGGGACAACAGCAGATGAAGCAGCACTTATGTCACTCCGCAATATGACGCCCGAGATTTGTGAAAGGGCAGAACTGCCAGTAGCACAGGGTTGCGGGAATGGTAGGGCCGAGGGGAGCACGAAAGGACGGATGAACGGAAAGCGCAGGAGCACGGAAGGCCAGCGAGAGGATGGACCACTTGAGTACGACGAACTGAAGAGAGACTAGGTGAGTTTACGGTGTAAGAGGAGGAAGGAACCATCAGAGCCAAGTAAGGTCGCGAGATGTGAACGGAGAATCTGATATTGGCAATCAGAAAATGAACATGGTGAAGTAATAACACGTCCGATCCACAGGGTTGACCTCGTCTGTCTAAGGATTCCCGGGGAGCATGCACAATCCACGCGGCTGCTTGTCGACGTAATCAAGGTAGAAGGAATCTCAAAACAGGAAGGATTCAAGAATCACTAGATGTATTATTGGCTCACCTGCTCCTCACGCAGGCAAGGATGAATGAGACGACAGCAGCGGCGAGAAGGATCTTAACGAGCTGCTCGTTCAACGACACGCCAGCGTCGTTGAACTGATCCAGCACCAGCTTCCAGAACGGCGTGCCTGCCTCCTTCTCCGACTCGTTAAAGCCAAATCGGCTTCAACGACACGCGACATCTTGGGGTTTCAGGCCGTTGTCTGCATCCGCTCAAGACACTCCTGCACGGAGTGTCTGGTATGGATCCCAAGTGAGACGACATCGTTTAGAAGCAGAAGCGAGAACGAATTGTGCAGTAAATCGACCCTGAAGACGTGATCGCACAAACGCAGAGAGCAGTCTGGCCGAGCACACACACACAACAAATCACGCCGTCGGACTACGGCCTGCGACGTCCCTCACGCTAGAGGTGACCTTATCTGAGCTCGCCGATGTGAGAAGTCTTGGTTCACGGGATTCAGAGTATACATCTGCAGCCTCTGAGCCAGGAAAACACACAATTTTCGAATTTCAAATGTGCAGTCCTCGGAACATGGGAAGCCAACAGACATCTCAGACTTGTTGGAAGAACCGTGGAGGAGAAATAGAAACCTGTTGATCTGCTAAAACAGACTCCTTTCGTGTTCCAAAAACCTTCGTTTGTGTGCTGTGTTGTGGGTCACGGCGCGGTTCTATAGCGCTCCATTTTGCTTGTGTTGTGGGTCACGGCGCGGTTCTATAGCGCTCCATTTTGCTTGTCAGAAGTGTGCATCACCTGAAAAGAAGTAGCAATGATTTTCACATCTTGTTGTCACATGAAGTTTACAAGGCAGACAAGGGTACCTCTGATACGGTACCTGTAAGTTTACAAGGCAGACAAGGGGAAGGAAAACCTTCTATATGAAAAATATGTCCAGCAGCACATTTGAAAAGGCTGCTAAATGAATTCCACAACTTGGATGTTGAGTAACATACGGTAGCCCATGTTTGTAACATGCTTTCTTGCCAGTGCAATAGAAGGATGGCTGGCCAGATTGCTGGCAATGGCAGTACGATATATTTTCGTTTGTTTCCTGGTGCCATGATGGAGTAATTCAGCGTACTGCAGAACCAGGCAGAGTCTGTATGTAAGCGCAGTACACCATAGAAGCTCTCCCTTTACTTGGTCGAATGCAATGATGATTTTCAGGAGCAGCATCCAAACTTGGCTCACGAATGTGCACCTGAAAAAGGAACTTTGTTGTTACATTCGGATGCGTAGAAATTTCTACAAGTTAATCACTGTAACCTCAGGCCTATTACATGCGCTGCAGTGAACAAATAACTTGGATCTTTGTAGATTTGAAAACGGCCAGTCAAAGAATATAATCACGGACGAAATGCTTCCAGCTGGAACGATATGGTCTCACCATGTTGAAGGGTGACGTAAGAAGGTTAGAATGGCCATCGTCACAGCCATTTAGTGTCTCTGCACGTTACGTAAGCGCAAAGGAGGAAGCATCGCGGTAAAGTGAGTCCTCACCATGTAGACGGATGACTGGAATAAGCTTAAACCTGGCCGTGATTATATCCAGGTGGCTGCCTGCACATGTAACATGAGACAAAGTACGTGACTGACGGGACGGGTCTATTGTTATGAAGACGAAGGTAAGAACCAGTGCTGTTGATTTATACGGACGAAAAGATTTCAGCTAAAAATGGTCTCACCATGATGACGGTTGACGTATGGTACAGTTACTATGGCCATCATCACAGCCATTTACGGTCTCTGCACGTTACGTAAGCGCAAAGGAGAAAGAATCATTTCGCTGTGAAGTAGGTCCTCACCATGTGGACGAATGTCTGGAATAATCTTAAACCTGGCCATGAATATGTCCAGGTGTCTGTTAGAAGATGTAAGATGAGACAATATACGTGACTGACGGAACGGGTCCATTGACTGCTTGAAGACGAGGTAAGCACCATTGCTGCCGATTTATTCCTCTAGAAAGATAGGTTGCCGTGCACAGACTTCCAGCAGCTTAACACGCTTCCGATGTCATATTCACATGGACCTGCATTTTCACGGACGAGACATCAGCGAATAAATACCCGAATGGTCGGCGACTGACTTACGCTACACGCACACTTCCCAGTATGGACAATATTTGAAGATATTACGCGCTCTCGTTTTCGTCTCTTCCTCCATGTCTATTACCATGATCAGGCTTCGTATGAATGACAGTGCTAACGATGAGGGATTCCTGGTCGAATCCCATAACAGATCAACTGTGAATGACTGAGCAGCAGAAAGCATAATCTAGGGAATGCAGAATGTGAAGCTCGGTTTCCAAACCAAGACTCGGCTCGGCAGGAGTCTCGCTGGGTTCGTCATGCCCGCAATACGAAGGGTAACCTGTCGCTGGCGGAGGTCTCGGTGGTTCTCGACAAATCGTCATGCCTGCAATACGAAAGGTAACCTTTCGCTGGCGGATTTCTCCGTGGTTCTCGACAATCGTCCTGACAGGGGTAAAGGGAGAGTGAGCTGCGAAAGTAAGACAGTTACCGCATTGAAGCATGCTTGAACAAAAATAAGATATACAGTAGAAATGGAATAGGTTTTGGTTGATGCTTGCAGCCTATGCCACACAATTCCCCCCCCTCCTATATTTTGTGAAAGCTACTGGTGTGAATAAATTAACCTCGCATATTCCTTACTGGTTTTTTTCAGCATCGTGATTATTTCGAAATCTCAAAAGTGGCGTCGCCTCTCCTTCGTATGGTGCGTGTCCTAGGATGTCCCAACCTCACTCCGGCAGGCCACCATCCCCTCTCATGCCACAGCCAGGAACACACTACGGCACGGGGAGGGCATAGCGGTATCTGTTGTGTTGTGATGTGTGTTGTGTTGTGTTGTGATGTGTGTTGTGTTGTGTCAGAA